AGCTGCCTACTGCTAACACCTCAGAAGTGAAACGAGACGGCGTTTTTTAATCCCTGGTAGATGTGGCTGAGTTCAAACTTCATTAGGCACCTCTAACTCCACAGCAGCATCTGCAACTCCAGCATCTCTAACAAAACAAACAGGTTCTAGACATCCACCTTCTGAATTATCTACTTTTGTCCTTTGTCAGTGTCAGTTTAAAACATGAAATGCTGAAAGTCAGCTATGAAGCTACACCCTTTGGTTGCAAAACCAAACGTTTTGTAAATACTTACAACATTTTCTTGTTTCCCTAATCCCATATGTATGCTGACTGTCTAGTTGAAAGTGTTCTGCTGGTTTATTTAGAAAACGCTTCTAAATTACGCTTGGCCCCTACCCTGACTTACCTTTATCCCTCACATACTCTCTGATTGCACCCAAAATAGCTCTTACACCCTTCCTTCCTTCCTTCTCTCCTGCACTTCACAAGGCTCCTCTGCCAGGCTGATAAAGGAAATTGGGAAACTCGGTCTGCCCTGCCGCATCTCTCCCAGCAGGTGTCAGTGCCCTTCTGTACCTGCCACCTAAACAGCAGGCGGCCTTTCTTCAGGTTTGCTCTTTTGATGTTTCTCTTGATGTCAGAGAGTCTGAAAGAGAGGAGTTTTTCTGTCTTTCACCCCAGCATGATCAATGTCACACCAGAATTTACTTGCAGGAGGGGATCTGTCCGAGGGCTATACCCATCGTCTTTGGAAATTTCTATGCCTATTTGAAAAAGGCTGAAGCTAACCAAAGTATTAAATAATATCAATGTTTCAGTCCAGCAAATTCTCTTCTGCTCATCCTGTCCTTCTTGCCTATGCTGAAGACCACTGTTCACAGGCAAAACAGGGAACAGGGAAACATGGGTCACACAGGAAACATAATTTTTAAAGCAAAACACAACATGTCTCTGCACCACCATCACCAAATTCTCACACACTCTAACTTCTGCGCAAATCCTCCAGGCTCCGTTTAAAGCTTCTGAGCAGTCAAGGCGTATGGAAAGGGATGGAGCATTTGTTTCATTTTCAACTACTCCAGCAGCAATTTCAAGAGCGCTGGACAAGCCAGGTTAGAAAACATGTGCCTCAAAGCAAGGCACCACATCCTCTTTGCATCTCCTTTCTAGGATGCTGGCCAGAAACCCATGGTCAACCATGACCACAGTCATCAGATGGTTCTTTTCCACAGTATTCTGCCTGTAGGTTGGTCCACTTTATAGTCTGCTTTCACAACCTCACTCCATTTTATTTATAAGTAATACGGAAAAGATAATCCTGTCATAGATTGTTTGTTACAACAGTATCCAAAAATCACTTCTGCACCAAAATTTGGCTCTAATTTCCGTGTAGGAAGTTTGAAAGGTTATAGATAATTCATTGTTTCAAGTTAAACAGTCTTCATCTGATCCTTTTAAGTGCCTCTGATTGTAAATCAGTCAAGTTTTCTCATTTTTGAAAGCTTTGCTAATCTAAATGCTAATTGTCATGGAATTTTGCAAGCCACAAATACACTTCTCGCAGGTTTTCAAATGTCTATTAAGCTTCTCTCTCACTCTTTTTAGCCCTTGAAGATATGCCAAAACACAATGTTAAATTATGTAGCTTGTGAGGACTTCCCAGTTGCACCCTGCCATATGCCAAATGATGTGCCTTTTGCAATTACCGTACATAGCAAGTCATAAGAAGTTAACTATTTCCACGTTGCAGAACAATCAAGAGGAATTTTCATTAGTACCCTTCTATGTCCTTGCTGATTTAAAAATACTCATGAGATGCTAAAAATCAGCTTTTTTTACCTTCCAAAAGTCAAATCAGATAGGAAATCAGGAATCTCCACTTCCGACACAGAATTGCTCCCATTTACAAGTCTTCTAGAAGGCTGTGCTTAAAGTAACAAGAAAACACCCACGTTTCTGAAAAGTGCTCAATGTAGATGATGTCTGCATTGTCCTTAGTCTTAGCTTTCCTCATTTCCCCTTCCCTCCTGGCCTCTCCCAAACTCATTTTTAGCATTTATCAAGTCTTATGCCACTCTTGGTGCGTTTCAAAGGGAGAGAATAGATATGAGTTATTTCTTCTACAAATAAAAGTTATTTCAAACATTGTGTTGGGCCACGACAACTGAAAACAAAATCCTGCTTGGAGACAGTTCCACAACTCTTCAAGAATGGTGACATGCTTTGGGGTACCCCAAGATAATTTAGCAAAGACCAGAGCACCAGGTCACAGTATTCCTAAAGCAGCCTAATATTAAAGTGTTTCACAAATTGGCCATTCAGAAGCTGAAGGAGATAGTGGAACTCAGCTAAATCGTAAGCAGTGAAGCCTGCTGCTGCGTACAACCCTGGGAAGAGGAGCAAATTAATGCTACCACCTTGACTTCACCGCTCAAATGATGTCCAAGCCAAAAAGCAGGTTAGAGGTCCACCTTAAAAATTAGATGTGTGCTGAAGTGTTCATGGACAAAAAAAAAAAAAACAAACCCACTCAAAACTTTCACAGTATCTTAAATCATTTCTGTTTGCATGTCTCTTCCGTTATTTTCCTCTGAACATCCCACCACACAACCTTCCCACCATTTTATCCTTCTCACTTACATCACCGTAATTACAGTCCTGGCTGATCTCCTTTGTGCTGATCTCGAGATTCTTTCTTTGGTCTTGCCACCTACTCATTTCTGATTCTTCTCAGATAACAGAACGCTTGTCTCCTTCCCAGACCTCCCACCCTCCTTCCCCCTCTTCTTGCACCATCCGTACGAGCAAGAAAGCTAGTGTTTTCCTGTCTTCAAGAGCTCTTTGCGGCATTCACTGAAAGGCATTCCCAAACTTATTATCTCCATCCAGGAACGACTACAACAGCTCTGCTGTGGGCCTGGTGAGATATTGCGCTTGTGGGCAAAACATTCTTTGGATTAGGCTTGCAAAGGGCAAGAGTCTTAACCTTCAGAAGTTTACTTTGAAGTCTGCCTGATTCAGGTTCCCTAAATCATTCTGTGCATTTACTTCCAGCTAAAGCACATCTGTACGTCTCCAGTGGAGAGCATTCAGTCAGAGAGCACGCAACATTTAGTGAGGCTGCCTACGTGTGCATATATGGAGTCAACAGCACAGTCCCCTTTCAGTGGAAGAAGATCCCTACTGTTCCTATATTCCGTGTTATAAATTGCACAAGGACAGAGGTATTACCAACAGCTTCTGCACCATTACAGAGCTTAAGGGGAAGGAAGGAAGGAAAGGACGTAGAGGTAAATTTTTCACGTAGTCAGAACATTCATCCTCTTCTATTTCAACTCATCCTCTACTATGGAAAATACAAACAGAGAAACTCCTACAAAAGTAGTTCCGTGTAGGCAAGGCAGTCATCCTTAGATCGTAAGGCATCCAAGAAACCAAACATCATCTGTTTTTTTTAACTGTTGCTTGCACCTCAGTTGTATTCTGATCCTAATCGAGTGCTCTGCGTCAATTCAGATAGAATTATGTGTGTTTTGCTTACTGGTGCTATGTTAACATCAAAGGGTAAAATACAACACTCATGGACCTGCGCAACTAAGCTGAAATATCAATTATAAAAATCCGGGTTAAAGCACTTGCTTTTTTTTCTTTTTTTAATAGGTATAATACTTGTGGCAGTCACTGTAACTAACGATACTTTACAGCTACATTTGTTGTGTAGGCTGCAGAAGCCAAACGCTGCAATCCACATCTAAAATCAGTATGACTCAGACATATTGCAAAGGGCAAGACTGTCTGCTTGCCTGAAAAACTTTTGCTTAGGAGGAAGAAAAAAAAAGAGCACGCATTTTGCCTTTTCACTTTACTTGAGCTTTAAAAAAAAACCAACAAACCCCAAAGTCTTAAACCCAACCAAGTTTAGACTAACCAGTGTAGTGGCATAACTACAGAAGAGGCTTGAATCCTGCTGACTGACTGACGACTGACACACTGCACAGAGCAAACTTAACTTGGCTTTCTCTGGCTGAAAGTCCAAGCAGAACAGAGGGCTAACAAGAGGTCACTTGGCCGACCACGCTGGGTGCCAAGGGGATCATGTGGCCAAACAAGGCAGAGGGAGAGGGGATAAAGAGCCCATTTCTGTTACAACACATAGGTGAGTTTAGAAAGTGTTATTTTTTTGCATGGTTCCTGGAATTCTCAAGGACCTCCTGAGAGCAGTCTGGGTTAATTAGACAGTGTAGAAGAAACTATTATGTCAAATGAATGCCACTCGTATTAGAAAACATATCACACTGAGAGGAAGAGAAGGAGCAGCCTTCCAATACAAACGTTGAGAAATTAGGATCTCACTGTGGTACTGTGTGCACGCACAAGCAGACTAGATGGTGTTATTGGATACGTGTAATCACTAGTCATTCCACCTTCTGTGCAGATGATGATATGATATGATATGATATGATATGATATATGAAGAGAGAAAACACATACTGGAAATACAACAACAAAAAATCCAACCAGCACAACACATGAAATACCACTGTACCGTTGAGGGAGAAATTCTTGATATAACCGAAATATGGTCTCATTTTCTTAGCAGATGTTTTGTTAGTATACAGGTGAATAAATTTTAAACATCCTAGTCAGCCAGCATCTTGTAGATGTCAGCACGTAAACTGTGCTCTGAAGCCAGCATCTAACCTGCTTTTATGACCTGTGACAGTCTGCTGGCTGGGAGGGCTTGCACTGCTTAACAAACCCATCCCTGTGCTTCACAGGCAGACCTGGAGCAAGGCAGTGAGGTATGGTCAATTTGAAAACATTAAGGTTAAGAAGTGAAATGGTGAACACCTAACAGATAGCCGGTATAAAAACCATCAGTAGTCAAAGTAACATTCGCTTTGGGATATGATGCTTCTGCAATTTTTGCTAAATTCATATTATTGCATAGAATTTATGAGAAAGCTTATTTTACAATTCAGTTTTATCATCAGGAAAGCTTTAGAGATGTTCTTACCATGCTTCAGATGTAGGCAGCTGTCATTCTGGGGCCTGTACCTGTAGAAGATTGTTTTCCTTTAACAAATTTCTGTTACAGAGTTTTTGCACATTCCAAATAAGTTTCTTTGCTACAGTATTACATGGATTTTTTGGTGTGGTTTTGTTTTTTGTTTTTTTATGGTTCTTATACCAGCCATTTTTGTTGGGGAAAACAGGGTGTTTCTTTGTATATATTTTACAGGCAAAGAGGAGACCTCACTGATGCTTTTAGCCAACCTACTAGGCAGCTGTTAGTGTACACAGAAATGTAAAATACAGCAATAAAAAGTACAGTGACTACAAAAAGGTCCAGTGTAAAGTTTCCCACGTCCAATAATCCCACACAGTACTTGAGACATAGTAAAGTCTAAGGATGGTACAACATCGATTGAGGAGAAGAGCAAAGGTAAAGCAGGACAGTGATTGCAGCAAGGAGTAAGTTCAGCCAAAGATGTTGATGCCGTCAGGACTGCTGCAAGGAAAGGCACAAGGGAAAGGAGCCATGTATTGTGTGTGTTTTCACAAGCTTGCATTCCAAGTGAAGCATCTTAAAACATCCATCAGAAGCAAGTGTTAGAGCAAAGCACGTAAAAACTAAACAGCACAAGCCCTGGCTTCGAAAATATACTTGAGGTGAACGGTAAGTGAGAGTTGGTCATGGCCTACCTGATGCTGATTCCTGCAACTTTTCTCTCTTCCTCTTCTTTTTCTTCCCCTGAAAAATAGGAAATTTTACCATACCGTTACACACACAGAACTCTTTTTCGTCACTCCCCCACCTCACAGCACAGAAACGAAAGCCATCTGGACACTGAGAAAGGAAAAAAAATAAAATTGTTTTGGAGTAGCTAAAACTTTTTCTAACTCACTTCCAACTGCTTCAATGGTAACATGGTTTGACCTCAGAATCTATCTACGCACATGAGCAATACACATTTTTATACCCGCAATTACAATTTCTGGCAGTTTTTCAACTCATGCTGGCAGCAGCAAGCATCTAAAAGACTTCTCACGCTTAATAATCTGATGACACATATGTTGATATCACAATTTATGGCTCTTAAAAGAACTCTTCACACATTCAGATACTTACACTGTCATACATGGCAACAGCAGACAGGGTGTTGAAAGTACCTAGGACGACCATGACTTGTCCCCAGGGTGCAAACCAGCCAACTAAAACTGTTGCGATAACGCTCGTACCTTAACAAAAGCCAAGTCTCCTATGGCTGTGCCCGGAGAACGCGCTGTGCAACAAGGAAATAGCAGTTTGCTGTGCAGTGGAGCACCCTTAACGTAACCGAGGTGCAGGACAGAAATGGACATCTGGCAGCTGTCTTTCCTGGACACCACACTGGCACCAGCGTGCCAGCACAGGCTCATCATGCCGACCCACACACTCAGCATTCTCCTGCATCCCCATCTATGGAAAAGGCCAGAGCTCCCAGTTCACAGTCTTTCAGGAAACAAAAGGTCAGTTTAGACCCTCGATTTTAAACCTCAGTCATCTTGCATCGCCCTAATTAGCACTTTGATATTCCTCCATATGACTTCTCTTTATTGTTCTGTATTGTCAATGACAGGTTTGTTTTTTTTTTTTTTTTTTTAAACCCTAGTCATATCCATTTATATTTTGAAGAAGCCTTCAAGCTGCCAGGACAGGCTCTAACAGATGAGGTCTGGTAAACCTTGGTGCAGTTGCTGTAAGCAGGACTGCAGGCCACTGTCCATCCTTCCTTCTGTCCCCCAGCCAGAGGTTACCCACTCAGCACGGCTGGCAGCTGTCAACGCATGTCCCGGTGTAGACCGTGCCACGCACAGCGGCCTCAAACTGGAAGGGCTGAGATGGAGGGAGACATTTTTCCACTATCCAGCTCTACAAGGTGACGGGATGGACAGCAGGTGATGTGAGAAACCTCCTCAAACCACTGTAGCGGTCACTGATAGCAAGCAAGGACTCCAAATACAGGCTACGGTGAAGCTATGGTAGATGAATTTAAGTAGTCTCCAGTCTGCTCTGACAGTAGTCTGGGCTTGCCTGGCTCTTAAACTCCTGTTCTTATTTATCCTGAGGCTGGCAACAGCACTGGGCAATGCCTCGTGATTGAGCTCCCAAAGACAAGGCCAAGAGACCAGAAGTTGGAAAGCAGATTTCAAGGGCTCTGGGAAACTCACAGCGATATGAGTTATCACTTGGCACCAAGGCAATACTTCTTTACAGACAAAAGTGCATTAGTGCAGATGTTAACACGGAAAAACCATGGGAGGAAAATGATGTTTTATTCCCTATGGCAGCCTGACTTCAAGTGCCAAAACATACTGAAAGCTGATCTGAGAACCATCTATGAGATACCAGAAGTGGAAAGACGGAAGGAAAAGGCTGGGCTGAAAAATAGTTGTCAGTATTCCTAAATGAGGTAGTTTCTGACAACTCCAGCACACACAGACACCTCCACATTATGAAAATACTGTGCTGCTGTTACTGTCACACAACTTTGCAGGACTACTTTGGATGTCAGTAATAAAAATACAATAAAAAGCACACAGATATTGTCAACAGTTGAACAGCAAAGCTTAACATTTTCTTGAAATTTCTGAAATCCTGAATAACCAGGCAAACCAAAATAGAAGAATTAAAACCGAGTAGTACATACTTTTTAATTGTATTGCTTTGTCAAATTCAGCCATGTGAAACAGAAAAGTCACCCCTAAGTCACTTCCAGCTCTCAAAATACTGCAGTAATATCTGTGCTAAATGAATACAAATTGATTTTGACTGTGCAAGTTAGAAAAAAAAAAGATGAAAATAAAAAAAAAGATGACATATACCTGAAAAGGTTTTAGTGATAAACTAAACTATGATCACCTTCTCACCACCACCACAACGAACGTGCGCATTCCTGGAGAGGCAGAGCAGGACTGCAAAAGGAAGCTAACAGCCTTCTCCGTTGTAACACATAGGACAGGAGTATGTCAGAGCTATACTTCCACACAGGATGTAGGTTGGAAGCACATCAAAGAGAGAATCCATACGTGCCACCTTACGCACTCCAAATGTCTATCAAGGCATTTAAGAAACCACAGGTCCACTGCTTGTGCAGTATGGTAGCAAAGGCTGTGGCAAAACACATCAGATTCTCAAAGTCAACATGACTGAGCATCACAGGACAATCTTGAAGGCTGATGTCCAGTAAGCATGGGCTGACAAAGCTCCAAAGTGGTTTGGTTTTCCAGCAAGTAAGTTCGAGACGATTGAAATCCCCTTGTCTTCAGAGAGTACATCCCTAAGGCTCTATTTGTTCCCAGGTATATTTCAAGACAGCTCTGTTGACACGGTCTGGTTACTGGAAATATATCCTACCTGTGTAAGGTCATGACAGCTCATCTGCTAGAAAAGATGACTGTATAAAACAGGCAGAAACAAGCTGCTAGGGCTCACAGTGGAGTCTGTGCTTACAAAACTGGGCACGGATGTCAGCAAGACCGAGGCATTTGCTTCAGAGATGATCACGTAGTTTCTGTGTCAATGCTTTCCATGCCAAAGATCTCCCTAAGAAACTAAAGCTTACAATGAAAATGTTGTTTAAGCTCAACAGTAGCTGTGCTGGATTGGAAATGTCAGGTATTTCTACAGTTTCTGTCAACTCTGTATTTAGGTACCTCAATCTTTAATGCCCTCAAGACATCACTTAAGTAGTGAAATACTACTGTCCACCTCATACAGATGGAGAAGTGAGCCAGATACAGCATGTACACGTCCTGTCACAGTAAACAGTGCCACAGCTGACAGGGGGACGGCGAGGAGCCCAGATCTCAGGCTAGGATCAGTCTCTCAGGATTGCAGCTTGCGAGTTTCATAACATAACATACGACTACACTGACAGCTCATTGCAAGCACAATAGTCTAATTGTGCAGTGCAAGCTGTGCAACATGCTATTAACATTTGTTTGATATTTAATTACAAAATAAGAGTGATTCTAAGAAAACTTCTTAGATTCACCAAACAGCATAAAAGCAGGATCTATCATGAAGCTTACTTATACAAATTTTGCAGGCTTTATTTTGGAGGTGGACTATTCTGAATTACTTTCAGCTAAAGTTCAGTTTGCATTAAGACCCCTGGGCTTTCAGTTCTCTTGAAAGAGAGAGAACTTTTCTTGCTCAGATCTAAAGAATATTTCTGGATAGCAAGTGATGGAATAGAAAATTATGAAAAATTCACAGCTGTACAGTAGAACATAAGCTTTCAGACAGTACTGATAGGACAAGGGGCAATGGCTTTAAATTGAAAGAGGGCAGATTTAGATTAGATATAAGGAAGAAATTTTTCACTCAGAGGGTGGTGAGACACTGGAACAGGTTGCCCAGAGAACTTATAGATGCCCCATCCCTGGAAGTGTTCAAGGCCAGGTTGGATGAGGCTTTGGGCAACCTGGTGTAGTGGAGGGTTTCCCTGCCCACAGCAGGGAGGTTGGGACTAGATGATCTTTGAGGTCCCTTCCAACCCAAACCATTCTATGATTCTATGATTCTACTGGCCATTGTCTGAGAAAAAAACTTTCTATGTTAATTTTTCCCCCTCAAAAACTGTGACCTTCGCAAAAAAAATCTCAACAACAAAACCTCGAGTTTTCTGGATGCTCAAAGTGCAAGCAAATACAAAGCTTATGTTGTATGTTTGCTCACCATCTTTCCACCTAGAACTTTCCACAAGTTAAAGAGAAAAAGAAGAAAGGAAAAAAAGTTAGGTAAAGGAAGTTAATTTAAAAAAAAGCCTTCAAGTGAGCAACTTACATAGTTGTCTCTTGCAGACCAGCCTGGATAAAGCTGCATGTGTAGCTGCCTTTCTTTACGAGCTAGTTCATAATATTTCGCTTGTTCTTCGCGGGAGAGAGCATGCCACTGCAAACAAAATAAACATAGCATTAGACTAGGAAATAACTCGTACCTAGGCAACAGATGACACGAGCCAGTGTTCTTCTGACTTTGATTCAGTCCTTCAGCACTGCAAAAATGAAATTCATTAGCAATTACAAGCAGCCGTGTTTATTAACCAACTTTTAGGCATTTGTCAGTTCTGCAACTGCCAAGTGCCTTGAGCAAGACAAAAATCATTAGTGGAACTAAGGCTCAACAAATGATCTGCTCATAGAACTATGCTCTCCCAACACTACTTTAAAACAGACAAAACAGAAAGGTTTTGTGCTGCTTTTAAAGGGCAGCGAGCTGCCCACCACGGAAGAGTTTGCTGTCTTGTTTTTAAGCAGCAGCTACACATGAGTTTTCAATGCCAGTGCAGAGGGCTTTCCGGGCACCAGCAGGCTCCTGTTCCTGGAGGATCTTAGATCAACCTCTAAGTATTGAGATTCAAGGTGCCTGCTTTCTGATTTCTTCTTGTTGTAACAGAAGAAAAGAAAATGGCAATTGCAAAAAGCTTCTAAGATACAGAAACCACAGAACAGTAGTCTTCCGATGTACAGGAGTTGTCCTCTGTAGCCAAGTAGGGATAAACTTCCTGCTTTTATTTACTTTTAAAAAAGCCCCAAACCTTCACAACCTGCACATTTGAAAAGGCACCAGCTACATCAGTATCTAGTAATTTTGTTCTTGTTGAAATACCTATCACAGACCTGAACCAAAAAAGAGTAAAGGCCTTTTATTCAGAATCAGGATCCACTGCTGCAGCATTAGATGTGTTTTCTTGTTTGATTTCAACAACATGCATGAGGGGGCAGGGGGAGAAGAAGATATTAAAAAAACCCACAAACAACAGACAGTCATGAAATCATTAAGACACTCATGCAAGAATAATTTACAGAACTAGGATTTCAGATCAGATCCCATTTGTCTGATTTAATATGTTGTTTTGTTACACATCAGAAGATGTGAACTAAAGTGCTTGTCTGTCTTGACTTGGCAAGTTAGATGTGCTACTGAGAGCACAGCAGTTCAGCCAATTTGCAACTCTCCAACTCCGCACATGCATTCCAAGGCCGGAAGGTAGTGAAGACCAGAGAGCCCAGCAGCCTGCAAAGCGGTTCCTGTTCCAGAGTGGCACAGGGTATAGTCAACAGTGACCAGAATGACTGAACACAAGACATTTGATAATAATTCATCTCTGAGCAATTATATTGAATAACTCATGCGTTGTTTGTGCCACAGGAGAAGTGGAATTTGACGTACTTTCACGGAGAACAGTAACTTGAAAGGGGGAGTCCAAGCTGTGGAAAAAGCAGGCAATGGAGCACGGAGGCTTGATTCATTACCAAAATGGAGATAAATAAGCCTCTGCCCTCACTCAGCCAAGAAAACAAGGCTGACATACTATGCAGCTAAGATCAGTTACTGAGGGAGTGAGAATGAAAACGTGATCCTAGAGGCTCGCATGAAAGAATGGAAAAGGCAAGCACCGGGACGTCCTTTAAGAGGAGGTAAGAAGAACATCAGAGAGAAGGCAGAAGGCTGCAGGAACTGAGACAAGTACCAATAGATTTCTGCTCTCTCTGGAGGGCAGGGAGAAAGTCTTCAGACTGTAACAGAGAAGTAGTAGTTAAGGTCATGTACTGACTTCCCACTTTTCAGAGGGTTTTCAGAGAGTGGCAGTGCCTGTCAATACTGCCTCAGTCAAGAAAAAGGGGTCACTGAGCAAGGGGATTTGAATAATCCCTACTCAAACTCACACTGATATAAAGTCATTCCTTTTCTCATTTCTGGGACAGTCAAGGGCCAAATGGGCATTTATATCTGCTGCTTTCCCTTGGAAGCACAAGACTGGCAGGTGAACATGAAGTTTATACTTGTTGGTTAGCCTGCCTACTTTTTTTTTAGAGTATGGAAAGAACAAAACATGCCTACAACGCCACAGAAGCAAACGGCTCTCAGCAAGGCTCTGGGACGTATACTGGGATCATCCGTATTCGGCTGTTGACTTTAGAGACATTCAAAACTCGACTGGACAAGTCCCTGAGCAGCCTGACGTAACTGCTGACCCACTTTGGGCAGGCATTGGACTAAAACAACCTCCACAGGTTTTTTTTTTTCTTTGCAATCGGCCCACATTCTATTCACTTTTGGGTTCCATCTCCACTGGCGTCTGGTGTTCATCTTTGAACGATCTCCTCCTGCTCTGATGGACACCAGCCTAAGGGAGGACCCAGAGGTGATCTGAATGCTCCTGCCATGTGTGAATGAGGATATTTCATGCCTGAGGTGCCGACACCATGACATGAGTGGAACAGACACCCATTCGACAATGTTTCTAATGCTGAAAAAAAGAAAATAAAGATACTGCTTTTATTTGTAATTGCACGTTTTATCTTCTGTAGCTAATTTGATAGTTGCACATTAGTTAGCACCTCAAGCAGAAAGGGAGCCATCACACCCAGCTAAAGGGAAAGACACACAAATTAGCAGCACACGTGAGTGCACACACACTCTCCTGTACATACCCTTCTGCCAAGAATCTGGTTGATAGCTGCGCTTTCTTTCAGAGTACACTCTGCTACAACGTTCGCTCTCATTTCTTTCATGTACAACATGAAAGCATTCAGAGGTTTCTTAATATGAGGTCTTTTTGGCTCTTGTTCTTTTCTCTGTTCGTGCTGAGGCTTCCTAAAACGTGGTGGGGGAAAGGAGGGGAAAAAAAGCATCCATTTACCTTCAGCTTAAAAAAACTCCAATGGAAAATTACCAACCTGTGGTTACACTAGCATTTAAGTAGCAAGAATGAGAATTTCAGTGGTCATGTCCCATCCACTTCGGTATCATTTCAGGGAACTTAATTTAATACTTAGGGAGGATGTCAGGTTGACATTCTCTAGCACATAACATTTGATCTGTGAAGCGCTCCAAATTTCATCACTTGCCTCAATTCTCTTTTTGAATGGCTGTCCATAGTACCCTAGAAGACCACTGCTACAGGCAGGAGGATAGTTCCTCATCCACTTCTTTCTTAGGCCTTTTGCACTTAAGTACTAAGCAAAAGGGCTGCTTTTTACTAGTAGATTTTGCAGTTAAGACCTTTTCCAGCAGAAGTCCATGAGTTGACACTCAAGTAACATCCACAGGTAGACAGGTCCATGATTATATCTAAATCAAGATGACTGTTGCTGATAGCTAAAAAGTGCTGGACTGGAATAAGAAATGGCTTCACGTCTCCTTACTCTTCCCAAACAGTAGCCCACATCTCCCGTGTTACTTATAGGAGAAGAGTTAAAATTCAAAAAGGACATGAAAAACACTTTTTTTTTTTTTTAACCTCCTTGACTCTTCTTCAGGTAGAGTTAGTTCTCAAATATTTATGGATTAAAGGCTAGTGCAGACTCACACATGCATTAGCTCACTGTCGTTGTGCGGATGTTCTTGTTTTACTTGAGGTGTTACAATAGCTGGGTGAGGGATTCCAGTTGTGTGAGGGCCTGGAGGACCAGGTATCATGTGATGTGAAAACCTAAAAGAGAAAACAAAGGAAGGTCTGTAACCCTACTGAAGACAGGCATAAACACGTGTGACAGCAGTGGGATGCCTCAAGAATGCAAACGCTATGGAGCTTGCAATGGAAGACAATTCTTTAAGAGGGCATGAAAAATATTTGGCTAAGATTTGTGCATTGTAGCCACTTATTCAAGAAAAACAAACACACAAACAAATCAGTCAACATTTTGGTTGTAAAGAAGTTATTTTATTACCTTTCAGGCAAACAGTTGTAGCAATGCACACAAGAAACATTTAATGGTTGTACTGTTGTACTGACTAGCAATAAAAATACACATTTCTTAACCAAAAAACTGTATTTCCACACCAAGATATAAACATTCTTAAAATATCCACCACCAGCCAATGCAAAGGAGGGAACTGCCATGCAGAAACAAATAAAATAAAAGAAGAGACTTTTCAAGAAGTCAAGATGGCTCTCTAAGGAATTTTCAAGGTACTTAAGCTGAAAGATTTTAACATCACTTCACCTAAACTCACTGTCCTTCCCTCACACGCTTACAATAAAAATAAACTGAAGAAATTCAGCAACCTGGAAGAAGGGGGGGAAGTGGAGGGAGAAAGACACTTTTGTCCTAAATAAAACTTCCTTTCATTTGTACAAGAAGGAAAATGCAAAAGAAAACTAAAGTACTACTAACTCAATCATCCCACCCTACTAACCCAGGTCATCCTCAAGGATAGCCGAGATGGATCTTGAAGATGTTGAGCACTGCAAGCTCAAGTGCAGCAGAAAACCTGCATGTTTTATTTTGAACTGGCAGAAAGTACCATTAGCATCAAAACAAGCTCATGCTCTAAAGGTTTGCTGAATGAGTGCTGGTTAAGGAATCACATCCAGCCTCTCATTTCTCCATTCCCTAGTCACCTTGCCCTTTTCCTTCGTGTCACCAAAATAAAGCAAACGCAAAGCCTTGTAATGAAATTAGGTCGTTTTATTATGGAGAAGGAATGGGTTTTCTTCCCAATCACGCTGACAGGCACACGCTTATCATTCCCCTGCAAAGAAGTAAACGGACAATGAGAATCCAAAGGAGCCCACACAAACAGAGGCAAGAGGACCCATCACTTATCAAGTGGCCTGTCTTAAGTCCCCGTGCAAGAGGATGCGTCTTCTACAGGTCACACAAAAAAAACCCAAGAATGGTATATTGCAACCTTGTGTACATCAAGCACAGGATGCAGAAGCTGTCTTTAGAGTGCAAAAGCAGAGGAAAGGAGGTCTGGAGTGTGTCATGGCCAAGTCTCAGTTAGCATTGCTTGCTTGCACTTAGACATAAAGACACAGTGCCTGATTCACACACCTGTACAAACACACTGTGCTGGCATCCCTTGCCATTAGTGGCTTTGGGCTATGAAATACCTACTTGTGAGTGAGTTTCCACACAGAGTGATGCCTACATGATTCAAGACTAATTACCAACAACTTTGAAATTAGAACTAGAGAACGCAGCCTAGAGTGACAATCCACCTGGTTTCATACTTGCAGGATGAAAACCCAAGGATGCACGCTACATGTTGCATCTAGAAATGAACTAATGACTCATTTCAGATGAATCAGCTCAATTAATTGTTGACAATTCACCGGTGCTCCTCATTGCAATACTTCAGAGGCTGCCAAGAAAATGCTGAATGAGACCAGTGTGGGATCCAGGCAAACTGTATATGACACAGATATGTTAAATAAAAACGTACGCATAAAGTTTTAGCTGACCGAAAAGCAAGCAAAGGCAGACCAAGATGCAAGCAGAAGAGCAACTTGCCCTCTAATGACAGCAGTTACTCCCCAGTCAGTCATTCGCCTCCCACACCTACCTGGACATGGAAGGGTCGACTGAGAGTGAGGATGGATAGGGCTGCCTGAATCCACTCGAGATGGGATATACAGGCTGACCTTGCCTGAGGTCACAGAAGAAAGGAACCCATCAATCATACGGTAATGGTATTCAGTAGTCACTCTAGAGTTACAAGCACTTGATGGGAACTCAGTACTAGTCACAAAAAATAGTGATAGGTAACACTTTCGAGAGTTCTGCTGTATTCAAAGCTAATGAATGCTTGAACACTTTGGACTTTCTCTGTCGCTACTGCAAGATTCCCAATTTGGGTTTCTACTGGGGAAGAAAGCAAAACAACCAGCCTTCCTCGCCCAAAGCACACGTGCACACACACACACGCACGCGCATGCATTCACACTCTCTATCTCCATCCCTCTCTCACCTAGTTTTAAAAGCGCTGGAATCATATTGTGTTAACTAGCTCTTAGGAAAGAGGCATTTTGTTCCAAATAGTTCTACTGTAGATCAGTGCAAGAACATCAGACTGTGAACTGTCAAGCTAGGAGACCTTTTGAACGGTTTCATTAAGTCTTTGAAAACTAAGGACTCTCTCCATTTGTATCTTTTATAGCGAGGTAAAAGCGGCCAGCTTTTCTAAGAACATAGAATTTTATTTGATAAAAAAACTCCACAACCACCTAAAAGCCCACAGCAACACAAGTCCATCTTAAAGTTCAAACTTTGCAATCCAGTAAAAGAAGTTTGTGTGAAATTCTTACCTCCTTTATACTCCCACATATATGGAATATTTTGTCACCAGCCTGTCATTTGGACTCTCTAGTTTTTATTATCATCGCTACACACTTTGGTTACTTTCAGTTAGCAACCGTTCAGGTTGTGACAATTAACACCCTGAAGTAGCATGCTATGGTAACGTGAACAAACACCAGTTGAGGCCAAATATCTGAACCAGCCCAGAAAGACCACCACACACATCAATCCTATTCAAACAGTTACTTATTGACTGGTAGATCAGCTTTCAGACAGGGAAAAAAAGGGACAGTAGCCCTTGTAAGGTGCAGGATACAGGTTTCACACTTGGAGTATGTCACTGGAAATGAGCAGAGCTAAAAGGGAAGGGGAGAACAAAAAGGTGGAGGAAGTCTCAGTAGCTCTACTGCACACAAGGCAGGTGGAAGCCATACAGCATAAGGGATGGCTGGGTATGTCCTGCTGTCAGTGAGTGCTGCTGAACACATCCCCAAGCCTTATAAGATCAGATCTTGTCTCTCCTCTTCTTATTCTTTTCCCTCCCCCTATCCTCTGCATCAAGAAACCGCTCAAAAGAAATCATTGATCACATATGGAAAACGAATGCCAGAAACTGCCTGCTGGTGGTGGAGGTGGGGAGTCAGCCAAGCAGCAATGAACAGGGAGGAAGCAGGGAAAAAAATTAGAAAAAAAAAAAAAGAGACTTCCATATTTTAGTTTGGTATCTGATAATAAGTTGTTCCAAAAAGGCATGTGGCACTTCCTGAAAGATGTGCCAGTAATACAACATTTCACCATCTTCTGCTCTCTACTTTCTATGTCTATTGTAGTCTGGATCATGTTTCCCTCCCATAAACACACTAAAAAAAAAAAAAAGTAATCTGCATCTCTCATTGCACGGACACAGATTAGTCAAGATACAGATTCTAAAGCACTGAAATTGTTGCCCAGTTTCCTTATTCCTTGCTCTGACAGACCTGAGGGCAAGTATCTATCTACCCCGAGTAGACACGAAGCATCCTGTCAAATCGATTACTCTGAAAACACAACATGTTTCCTCCAAAACGAAAATGACACCTTGAATGGCAGAATAAGATCCTAAGAGGGCTGGCATTAGCAGAAGTGGCAAAATCTCCCAATGACAGAGGCATACAGGAACTGTAAAAGGCAGCAGACTACAAAAGTTTGTTGGCCATTTTGGTGCAGTTTCAAGATTTCCACACACACACACTTCAAAGTTCCTTCTTACCTCCCCTCCTCTTAGTAATTGCCATTTTGTTTATTAAAAATTTACATTTAATTCCTTGAGAGCTGTTTTCTGCTATCTTTCCAAATGCCAAGAGCCACAAATCTGAGCCATAAGAAATATATAGACTTCAAAGTGAAATCTACACCCTTCAATTTCCGTATGTGTTCAAAAACCAGATTGAATTCATTTCAAGGATCGACATTTTTTGATCTTTTCAACTAAAATAATGTAGTAATTTCTTACTGCAGTGACATTCTTATTTTGTAAACGCTGTGATTGATTCAACAACAGCAAATGGTGTGAACATGCACCTTTGTCTGAAAAGAAGCTAAAAGATCTTACCAGCCAAGAGGTGGTGTTATCTGTCCAACCCCCCCTGGAGACAAGGGATAGAAGGTAGGGAGATCAGGTGCTGGAGGATGCCTGGACATGCCTGTTAAAGAGCACAGAAGAATGAATTACTTTCCCCTCAAAATACTACACGAGCCACAGTTCACAGCTATCACAGTCAATGCAATGATGGAATTAGTGCTCTGGATAAGAAATAACCACCTTCTTGGTTAGCGTTAAAAGCGAAAGGCTACCCAAGCCACCTTTAAAATAATAAATAACTTGCACATGATGTTGCAATTCAAAGGGAAATACTGGAAAAAACAAAGTGTAAGGAAGGAATAAATGTATGGGTAAGGGCCTGCACGAGTTTAGATCTCCTGTAAAGCACATTAGGCAATACTGTCCTCTCAGTGATTTCACCAAACCCAATCAGATCCTGAAGACCTCTTCTAACACAGCAGGAAACAAGAGGAAAATAAAGCGTTGTCAAAGAGGCAGCGCAGCACAGCTATTAGATTAGGTAAATTCCTACTTTTAGGTTTTCGCGAGTTCCCTAATGGATTCACAGATTTTGGAAACTTGCTACCACAGAGGATCAGTGGTTAATTAAGAATAATTTTCAGGCCTGTAATGGTCACACTTGATATGATTCATTTGGCTTCCAATTGTCACTCCAGCTCCAACTAAGCTCTTCATCAAGTTGACTCCTGTGGGCTCCAAGGTCAATCTGTTTTGCATTGGTAGTATTTCATAGAAAAATAAGAGTCCCATCAGAAATGATCCATCAGCTCACATTCCCCAGAACATAGAGTCCTACAACTGCAAGAACCACCTCAAGATTAAAGCTAATCCTAGTCCCAAAAGGGTCTCCAGTCTCCATTCTTCACCTAAACCTTGTGCCCCCAGGAGACAGGGAATTACGGTTGCAGAGGCCACAAAGACATCGGTTTATTTAAATGTGTTTGGGGAAGAAGGGGCTGAAACAGAAGGAACTGTTAAGTCTACTTCACATGTTAAATCAGCTGCTTTTAAAAAGGTATTAAATATTTATGTGGTGACACTCCAAAGGTCCAAGACTGAGTGTGTGCTACCTTGAGACTTGGTTTATAGATTGATGTTACTGATTTATTTTCCCCCTCTAGTTTGTATTTAAATCTTCTGAATTTAATTATAAGATTTCAAGAATATCTTTTGGGATTGTCCAGAGAAAAGGATGGAAAACAATACTTGTGGTGTTACTGTCTCAAAAAATCTAAATTCTCAGACTCGGGACAATCTGAGGATCATGTTTCTGGCCAGTTGTGTTTTCAAAGGTTATTGCAATTTAGGCTTAGTCAGCAACTAAGCACCACACGCCCGCTCGCTCCCTCCTCCCCCCGCAGCGGGATGGGGAGGAGGAAATATGACAACAGGCTCCTGGGGCGAGACAAGGACAGGGAGGGATCCCTCACCACTTACGGTCAGAGGGAAAACAGACTCAACATGGGGGAAAAAAAACAATTTAATTTGTTACCAATCAAATCAGAGCAGGACAATGAGAAATAAAACCAAATCTTAAAAAAACCCACCTTCTCCCCACCCTTCCCCTCTTCCCGGGCTTAGCTCTGCCCCCGAGTTCTCTACCTCCTCCCCTCCCAGCAGCACAAAGGGATGGGGAATGCGAGTTGCGGTCAGTTCATCACACATTATTTCTGTTGCCCTCTCTCTGCTGCAGGTTCTCCCTCAGTTTTTTGTGGGTTTTTTTTTTTTTGTTCCCTTCTTAAATACGTTAGCATAGAGGTGCTACCACGGTCAGTGACAGTCTCAGCCTCGGCCAGCAGCAGCTCCAACTTGGAGCTGGGGAAGCTTCTCGCAGCTTCTCACAGGAGCCACCCCTGTAGCCCCTCCTCAGCTACCAAACCCCCACCACACAGACCCAACACAAAGGTGTAAAACAGCTGGTGGCTGACAGGAGAGGGAACACTTTCTATATCCCAGGGGTTTTGTGTGAGAGGGAACTCTCTTTTACAGTATTTTAAAACAAAAAAAAAGGTGAAAAACAACCCTAGCCTCTCGTCTCTGGTGACAGTTGATGCTCCCGGGAGTGACGAGACGACATTGTCCCTGCCCGACCAAGTTCTGCGCAAGGAGCTGGGCCGCTCCTTCCCCAAAATCTGCATTTCTGACCACGGAGATGATGCCGCTCTTTCTGCACTAACACACAGTGGTTATCACTCGTCCAAAATTTGTGGCCCCTTATGGGGGGCTGTCAGCTACCTAAATCCCAGCAGGAACATATGCAGCTACCACATGGCCAGTGCTCTCCAAAGCTAGCTCCTGCTCATAGGAGGGTTAAAAAATACAACAAAAATAAAATAAAGAAGTGATCGCCTTTAGAAAGGCGGTGTCTGCACCTCTGTCCCTAAGTGCCTGGGGTGCAAAAGGCAGTGCTGTGGGCAAGCTGCTGTGGATCCCCTCATCAGGGGATTTTGGCAGGAGGAGGGCACTCTGGCATCTGGGCTGGGGCGCCAGGACAGTGCCTTGCTACAGACCCACAGTGGGAGGCGAGGACACAAACAATGGTTGGAGACATCTGGCAGAGGACCGGAGGGGAAAAAACATCCTCTTTTTGCAGCAACTGCATGGGCCACCTCACTGGGGCTGCTCCTACACACTAGCGACGCCGAAACGGGGAGCATGGAAAGACCACACACACAAAGGAGACCATCACAGCCAAAACTGGAAGTCTCCAGCCTGTGTTGTCCATCCCCATCTTTGCCAGACACTAAGCAAAGGGATCGAGAGCCCATTCAGGAACACTGGAGGGGCACAAGCTCTGTCCCAGAGATGCCCCTGGCCTCCTCCCAGCAGAGACCCTCTCCGGGCTTGTGATTGGGGATGGGGACATGAGAGGTGGGATGCACCAGGGCTGGATGGGGGAGAGGGCAAGAAGAGGCAGAAGGGAGGATGGGCAGCAGAAACAACAAACCAGATGTTGTTCAGTTTGGGTCTGCAGGAGAGGAATACAAAAATGAAGAAGTAAAGGCAAAGAACTGGGGTGCAGGAGGGCAAACCCATCCTGCAGAGAGTGGAAACCTCTTGAGCTCACAAACTGCAGCAGCAGGGTGTGCCCCAGCCACCGCAACCAGCTTGGGCAAGAGGTGGAAATCCTCTTCTCTAACATGCAGCACCTCTGGGACTGAAAGGAATGAGTGTGAATATCCTTCTCCTGAGCACTGATGTAAAGGAGGAAGACAAATGAGGACAGGAGGTCTCCATTTGCTCCTTCCAACTCTGAAAAAAGATATTCTACGTGTATTTACAGGCCAGGCTTTCCAGGCAGAATGCTTTTTGTATTCCCTCTCCCTTAAAAAAAAAACAATCAGCTAACCAACAAACAGCAAAAAACACATAGCATGGCCCAAATGAAAACTAGGCACTCAGGGAAAGTCAGAACTGTAAAAAGTCTCTCTTCCTGAGCGATGGTGGCCAGATGCCTCTCCGGATCAATGGGCCAGCTGTGCGTGTGGGTGTGTGCCCAGGTAAGGCAGTGCTAGGCACCCTCCAGGACCAGTGCCAGCACTGATGGACTTCATGCCCACGCACAGATGTCCCCGACTACAGCGGAAGCCTTCGTAAACACTCTGCTCCCTCTCCTTCCCTCCTCATCACCAGCTCTCCCACGCAGGCTTCTCCTCCTCGGGCGCTTACCCAAACCCCAGCTCAGACCAGTGCCAGCTGGGGCCTGTCCTCCCCTTGCATCCCTCAACAACCATCACGGTGTCCCGTCCCCCAAAGCTCCTGCATCCCAATGCAAGCAAGCGCACTCTCCCCAGGAAACCCCTGGCTTTGCCGGGCATGGAGCAGGAGCTCTCGGAGCAGGCTGGGCTCGGCACCTCGGAGGTGGTCAGTGCTTCCCCGGGGGCGGCAGGCTGACCCAGAGTGGGGTTGGTTTTTGTTTGTTTTAAGGAGTTCCTAAGGGCATAGAGAAAACTGACACCTGCGACTCGGACATCTAAAATGATGCTATCTGCAGAAGGCAGCAGGTATGAGAAGGTTAAAAAACGTCACGTGTGCGAAGCTTTAATTTGCACAGGCTCAAAATTGTATTTTATGGGCAACGCTTCAGTTATGCCAACCGATGTGTGGAAGAATTTGGACAGCCAGAATACAAGGACACAAAACACAATTCTGAGTAAAAGGGAAAAAGAAAAGGTTTCTGTAACACCACTACTGAAGTATTCGCCCCCGTTTTAGGGAAGGTGAGGGATGATTGCTGTTTCCACATCTGCACGCCGCAAGCCTCAGGCACCACAGGGGGTGGTGAGAGCTGGCTGCTACGTATTGAGATTTAATTTAAAAGATTTTGACGAGTAAAGCGAGCCTGAATTATCACATTAGAAAGAGCACGAAGATTGAAACATCCAAGTTAAATATCAGGATCACAGCAGAATTACCGTCTCTGAAAGCGGGCACGCACACCTCGAACCCTCCCTCTAAATATTACAAATAAAGTCCTATCAGCGGCGTGGGGGAACGTACCGGGACCACTCTGGATCCCCACTGCACTGGGATGGGACAGGCTCACCTTGTTTGGAGCTGACGTCGGAGGGGATGTGAGACGGGTGCGACCCCGGGGAAAAGTGCTCATCGCTGTAGGTGATAAGAGGGGTGAGGGGGTGAACCGCATGAGAAGGCTGTACCACTGGCACCTTGTTTGACTGCAAGAGAAGAAAAAAATTTAAATTGTGTTAGTGAGGTGGGGCCTCTGAATTAAAAAAAAAAAAAAAAAGACCCTTCCAAAATTCAATTTTTAGATATTTGTATGACTCAAGCGGAGGGAGAATGGATGGACAGACATGACATTGGAGCTGGTGGATGGCAACCAGGTTTGCTGCCAGAATAGTCATCCTTGAACCACTGGCACCCAAGGAGGGATGTAGGCATTGAGGAAATGCAGGGAAACGGGTGGAGGCAAGGGGCAGAAGGAAAGGTGTTTGGGACACACGGGGCTGTGGAAGCAGTGGCCAGAGAGCCGCAGGGCAGAAGGAGCACCACACCAGGCAGGAGGAGCACCACACACCACGGGCTGTGACCAAAGGACAGCAGGGCCAGCAGCAGCACTGAAGAAATCCTTCAGTTATAGGTTCAGCATTAAAATAAAAGGTTTAAAGTGCAGGTTTGCCACTTCCCCAGCCTTAAGAGCAACAGGAGCTTCATTGACTTCACTCCTCCATCGCTCTCCTGAGCAAAGGCGGCTCGGTGCAGCGGGGACAAGCCCCCGGTGTTGCCTGAGGGTACAGCAGGCTTTTCCCCTGGCAATTTCACAAACTCAGGTTGAAATCTCCTGGTCTGTGTAGCAGTTAACCAAAAAGCCACACTTAAAAGCCTAATTTCATATCTAAACGGTTGGCAGTGGCCTCTCGGAAGGGGTCAGTTAGGGAGCACACCCGCTGACTGCCCAGGGACGGCTGTGGAATGCCAAGGAGAAATCAAAGTCCTGCCAACGCCCGAGAGGGTCCCAAAACAAGTGCCATAAGCAGTGTCCACACAGGCCAAGACACACGTTTCCCATCAGCGCTTCCCGCAGAGGTGTAGGGGAGGGGGCACTCGGCGTGACGGAGGGATGTCGCCCAAAATCACACTCTTGGATCAAGGCTGAAAGACAACGGGACTCATCTGTCCCAAGAAACACTCCTCTATTAAAGCTGCTTGAAACACAAGTTGCTCTCCCCATGGAGGGATGAGACGTAGCAATGATGCCAGTGTGTAACAGCTGCTCCTCAGTTGTACCTCGACACCCTACTCTGTCCCTTAGCAAAAATAATTATGGCACAAACAGGATTTTAGTAAAATAAATAAATAAAAAGGGGGCAAATAAAAGCTGTCCTTCAGACAGAAATGCTGATAAAACTCAGCAAGGACAGCGTCAAATAGAAGGAACTACAGAAAAAAAAATAATGTAAGAATTAATGAAATTAATTTTCTTTGAGTTCACTGTTGAAATCCTGGCACAAATAGATGTTAGGACGATACTGCAAGTACGGACCTAGGATTTCTCTGGACCTAGGATTTCTCTGGACTTCTGGAAGCAGAACGATTATTAAATGGACAACTCAATTTATTGTTAAGGCTGGTAGGAGAAGAGGAAAAGGAGCAAACGGGAACCAGCACAGTATTTTCTGCTTGCCTTGTTTCCAGAGCACCACCTTAAGGAACTTGCATTAGCAGGCAGTATCTTCTTAATGTCTGACCTATCCCTCCAGTCATATAGCTCAGAATCTGGTGCCATGAATTTTTGCTAAATTATGCTATCCTTGCTCTCCTCTTAATTTTACGGTTTTCAACACAGATTTGCTTTCCTGTGGGAAAGAGATAAGAACCTGAGGATTTTAATTTAAGCTTCGGCCTTGTCTTATATTTTGCAAGATGGAGAGAGAAAGCAGCGCTAGTAGGTGTTTTAAAGCCAACAAGCATTAGGTCCATTTTTGTGACCAAATAATAACAGCAATATGAATTCTCCATAATATATATGAGTTGAGTTGTAAAAGGGATAGCTCAGACTGCTATTCATCTTTCCTTTCTGTACAAATTCAACAAAATAGAGATGCCAACAAATTTCAGATGATTTACAAATCAGGCCCCAGTCTTTAGCTACAAGACTTGAGGGCCAGCCCACCATTCAGCAATTACTTTATCAACAACAAACTGTATATTATGAATAAAGATCAAGCAATACATGTATTTAGGTCACACACACGCAGCTGCTAATCAGCATTAATTTCTCCAAATTTAGTAATTAACATTTTGTATTATACTGGATGTAATTGCCATGCACGCCTCTGGTATCAGGGTTACTTGCTTTCAGAAATCACCCATTCGTACTTTGAGCAAGCCAATCCCCATACCCCCTCACTCGCCAGCATCCTGCAGATTTTATTTTATTTTCTAATTCTCGGCACCTTATCCCCTAAGCCCACGGCAGCAGCTTTCAACGGGTGAAGGAACCGTGAGAAGTCAGGAGAAAAGCAAACCGCTTGTCAGTGGGCTTAAAATTAACATACAAACAGGTCATATCTCCATTAAGAGCATTTGGGGGTCTGCAGAGCCAGAAATTGGGAAGAAAAATAGTAGTAACAAGTAATAACAATGGTAAAATCTCTCCAGCCTGCCTGCCCCACACAGCTTTGGGAGGACCTAGGGAGCTCTGGCAACCTAAATCCTGCTGGGTAACCAGATGCACCATCGGACAGGGGCTCAGTGGGCACAGGCTGAGCCTCCCCATTCCCTGTGGTCCCACCAAGACGACCACAGTGATTGACAGGGGAAGAAAACACAGGGAGACATGTGGAAATGAAACCAGGATGAGAAAGGCCTGATAGCATATCTTCCAAAAGCCCTACGGACTAAATCAGTTCTGCTATGGCACCTGCCCTACAAGCCAACCTAGAGGGGTTACAGGCCCTCCTCCCAGAGAAGGTTCAGGGCAGAAGACTAAGATCTTGCACGCAGACCTGGATGCCTCTCACTGCTCTCTCAGTGCTCTCGCTCCCGGGCCAGGGTGAGGGGAGGAGTAGATCAGCCCCACGCACCCCAGCCAGCCCCACGGATGATGGCCTGCACCCTTCACTCTCGGGGACATCTGGACAGGGGATGATGCTGAAACCCCTTCCTCTGTCCACTGCTTGCAGTGGGCATCACCACTCCAGAGGCTTTTCAGGACTGAGCGACATGGCCAAAATCCTGCCTCACGCTGAGGTACAAGACAGCCCTAATTGGATTCCTCCAACTGCAGCCCAACATCTTTGCCCATAGGCTTCCTCCTCCTGCCACAAACGTGTCACTCCTACTACATTCGTCTCCCCAAATCCTCCGAAGATGGTGCATACAGCTGCAGAAACGCTGAACCCAAGGACTGTCGATCTAGGTCAACACCATCTCCACGCAGGGGAAACTCGGTCCCCCATGCTCTGCTCAGCCTCTATTAACCAAGCTAGTAACCACCACAGCTTCCCAGCACAATGTCCAATTAGATGTAGATTAGACATCTACATCTAATATAGGCACAGTTCACAGAGGACCTTTTCTCCTCAATACAACCTTAAAAAATCTTCTGCAAAACCTGATCAGTCAACACACCTTTGATGAGACAATTACATAATTACCCATTGTCCTACATGAGGTTCTTCCATATTTCAGTACAGGAACTATATTTCATCCACTCACCAAAATGTAGTATTTTGGTGCAAGTTGGTACCTAAGCAGCTTCTAGAAAAACAGTGAAGCAGATGAGAACGCAATTCTCATTTCCAAGACAAACTGAAGAAGTCGGATGTTCACTGAAATGGTTCCTAACACAGCTCTGATGCAGCTTACGTGGTGTATTTCCACACCAGATCAGTTTTGTCACCTTCTTTAAACTCTGGGCCTAAGCTTCTTCACGTGCCCTGGAAAGTAAAGGAAATTGAACATACAGCCTAGCTCAAAATCTGCAATTTGGAATAAACAAATAAACAGGGACCCAGTTCAAAGGGACACTTGCTCCTGAGCCACTAAACCTTGGTGGGCTCCTGCTTGGAGGCTGCTGGCCCATCAGGACTCCAGTCCCACTGCACAGTCTTGCAGCACAGCCTATGGCAGCATCCTTTGGGAACTGGTCTTGCACTCAAGGGACCTTTCCCCAGCGCTCTCCGGAGAACTTCTGCTGCTTGGATGCTTGCTGGTCATCTTGGCCTTCACAGCCGCTGTCTTTTATTTCTCCCAAGCACGTGCGCAGGCTGGAGGTGAGGCAGTGCAGGCAAGGAACGGTCCTCTGAAAGGACATCAACAGAGCAAACAGGCAGGGCTGAGAGAAAATAGATCTACTGGAAGCAGCAGGAGCTGAATTATTTGGCCAGCTAGTGCACAGATGAAGCTGCCGTTCAGCTTTATGACTGACTTGAAAAAAAAAAAAAACAACACAAAATCCCCAAGGATGAGTTAAGTGGGCAAAGGGCAAGAGCTCACAGGGACAAGGACCCTGACCCAGCAGTAGGCATTACCCTGGCAGGAGCTTCGCCGTGCACTGGCCACCGGTTTAAAACTACTGCTGCGTTACAGTGACACAGGAACAACTGCCCAAGTCAGTAAAAGGGCAAACATCTCCCTTGTAAACAGCAACCACGGTCTGCAAGTGTCAGGCCGGAACCATACTCGGGCATTTTGGGCAGGGCAAGGATGGGGTAAGACACCCTCCCACCATGGCGCTGGCACAGCTGCTGCCTCCCCACAGGAAGCGGCTCCTGTGCCATGCGCAGCACCCAGCGCTGGCGGAGGAGCTCCTCTACCGGCACGCGAAGGCGGCGGTGCTACTCGCCGTTTTAAAAGAGCACTGTCCCTTCATCCCAGGAGTACGCTTTGAGACAGTTCAAATTAGTCCCCAGTGAGTCGGTGGCAAAACCCTGCATCTTGGATTCAGTCTGAAGCCACGAAATTTCCCCTGACTTATGAAAAGCAAGACCACCAGAAAAAAAAAAAAAAAAAACAAAAAAACAAGCCCTCCAGCACCTGTAAGGTATCCTATAGGCAACAAGTGTGCAAAAACTATAAAAAGCCCAAGGCAGCCATGGCAAAAATGCATGTAGGTCAGCGCCGGGTGAGACGGGCGGCTGGCAGCTCCCGCTGGAGCTGGGGGAACCATTTGTTCCAGCTGCTGCGCAGAGAAAGATATTAAATTGACGCC